AATTTGATCAATCGTCGATCCATTTTGTAATCGGCGACATAGCATGCCGCCAGCTCTTGAACTTTTTGTTGGTGGTGCATAGTTGGTTCAAGATCTGCATTAAGGGCGGTTGAGCGTAGGATTTCTGGATTCGGTAATGCTTAATTTGCAGACTTCACTTCTTTTTGTTGATGCGGTAACCATTTCACTAAGGCTAGTTCTGGTTTACAGTAGTAGTGTTTTGCAGTAGATTAGGATTTTATGGTCTTCCTTTTTTGCTTTGTTAGTTTAATGTCGTAGCAATTTTATTTACACTTTTATTGTTTTAAAGGTGGAAGTGGAAGTGATTGTTTTGTTATTGTTTTTGTTTGCAGTTGTTGACTCATGAAATCATAAGGAGTGCAAGAGAAGATATTACATTTGATGGAAGATGTAGACTGTGGAGGATTCTCCGTAGTAGTGGTTTTGTAATAGTAGTATAGTGATTTCATAATAGTGATTTTATAGATATGATGGTGCTAGCAATGATTCTATAGCAGTGAATTTATGGATCCCGTATTTACGAATATGATGTAGCAGTGTTTCTGTTTTGTATTAGTAGTGATTTATTATTATTGACTGCAAGAACCTATATAGTAATATTGATTCTACTAAAAAATTATCAAAATCACTACTAATATATCATAAAAACAATACTACACGCCAAATTGCTACTACATAGCTGAAGAAAAGAGTTAGTAGTGTTTTCCAAAGAATGTAGTGTTTTACTCTGCGAAGACAGAGAGACGTGATGGAGATAAGGGAGAGAGAGAAGTTGTTGAGTGAAACTTGTAACTATATGGCAGGTTAGTAGTGCTTTTTCTTTAGGAATGTGGCAGGTAAGTATTGATTTTTGTTCTCGGGAATAGAAACGTCTCTGAAGGAAATCACACAAAATCCGGACGTGCAGTTTCCCATAAATCAACATTAATTTCGTATTTTAATTTTTTATCCCAATTTCCGATTATACCCTTTCTTTAATGATAACCATCAAATTAAAAAAATAGTTAGGATGGTGCTAACCCCCTATGAAGTTAGCACCCTATCTTTTCCCAAGAACAAGAGACTCGTCCTGGCCTAGAGCTAAAGTTGTTTTCTTTACTTCCTCACAGACAGTCCCCAACTCCAAAGTTGTTCTCCGTTCGCCACGTAAGATCTGTTCCACCACCTGGCAGTCTGTTTGAATCTTGCCTGGGAGAAAACTGAATCGATCTGCTAGCTCCACCCCGAACTACATCGCCTTCGCGATCTCCGAAATCCATTGCCGGCGTGTTCTCTTCACATCGGCCAGAAAAAAAATGCCCTCCCCGTCTCTAATAACCACTCCCAAGCTAGTCTCGCGATCCGGCATGCACGCCACATCGACGTTGAGAGTGAATTTGCTTGGCGAGATGTTGTCCAACCCTTCCACTCTTCTCTCTGAGTCTGTTCCTTGTGCATTTGGGCTTCCGGGTATTCTTCAATCCATCAATAAGCTCTACCCATTATCTCTCATTCCTCCAGTTTATGTTTATTCAAGAGCTGACAGTTTCGCTGATCCCAGATGAACCAAAGCGAGACCAGGAAGCAGCCAATATGCTCGTTGGTCTCTTTTCCTTGAAATTCGCAAAACCACTCCTCAGAGGTAAGGTTCTCTCCCTAAATGAATAATGGATTGATAGCACTAGCTCTCCATACTCACCGAACCCACCCACAATCCCTGAAGATGTGTTCTTAGGTCTCCTTGAGATCACAGAAGGGGAATCCCTCACTTCCTTTCTATGCGCGTTCCAAAACTCGAGCTCTCGTATGCAAAATGTTGTGAATCCATTTCCAGGCGAAAAGCTTGACCTTGTGTGGGATGTTAAGTTTCCAGAATCTGTCCCAATTCACCGGGAAGTGGAGTTCTCCCCATTCCTCAGCCTCTCTATTAATCCACAACTTATATGCTTATTTAACTATGCACTCCCCTGACTTCTCAACACTCCATACCCTTTCGTCTCTCCTCTGACTCCTAGATATAGGAATCTTTAGTATATTAACCCTATCTTCTGGTAGAAAATGTGCTTGTAAAGCATCCAATTTCCACGAGCAGTCCTCCGAGTTGATTAGTTCAGCCATTGAGATTGTTTCACCAATGACAGTCATTGGATTTTTTGGTTTGAAGCTCTCAAACTCTAGTATCCACTTATCCAACCAGATATAGATGTTGCACCCTTCACCTACTTTCAATCTAGTTTCTTTCGTTACAATTTCCTTGGTCGACAACAATCCATGCCCTATAAAACTCGGATTATAACCAATTTACACCTCTAGTACCTCCCTATGAGGGTAGTACTTGTCCTTCAAGACTCTGGCTGTTAAAGATTGTGGTCTTGTGATTAGTCTCCATAAACCATAGTTGTTTTCCAAGAAGAGCCTTGTTGAAGCATTGTAAGTCCCGAAATCCTAGCCCTCCCCATTTCTTTGATTACATAACTCTGACCACAGTAGCCAATGAGTTCTACTCTCCTCGCCCTGTTGACCCCACCAAAAATTGGCTATTAGACTTTGGATCTCTTGAATGGTTCCCACAGGAATTCGGAACATGGACATTATGTAAATCATTTGTGTCTGTGCCACTAACTTTATTAGGATTTCCTTCCCTCCAATTGACAAGAGTTTGCTTTTCTAGTACTTCACTTTCTGTCAGAACTCTGTCTACTAGGTAGCCAAACACTGCTTTCTTGCCTCGTCCAATCCTAGCAGGTAGGTCAAGCTATCGTGAGCTTCTACCACCTTCATTCCTAGAATCGAAGTTAGCTGAATTCTGGTTTTTCCTTTTATGTTTGGACTCAATGATAGTTCGGACTTCACTTGATTCACCTATTGACCTGACTCGGCCTCGTAAAGGCCTCAGAGGATACTATCATTCACAAATAGTAGGTGTAAGATAATTGGAGCTGCATTTTTAAATTTCATTGACCATTATCGAGAAAGAGACCATAGAAAAGCAAGACATAATAATGTTTATCCATCTTCTGGCAAAGCCCAACTTCGCCATGATTGATTCTACAAAATCTCATTCAACTCTATCATATGCATTCGTAATATCCAATTTAGCAGCCACAAACCCTTTCTTTCATGTCTTAGGCTCATAGAATGAAAGCACTCAAAAGCGACGATGATGTTGTATGTTATGAGGCGCCCCTGCACAAACGCACTTTGTGTGTCTACGATGATGTCATCCAAGATTTGTTTAAGTCTATTTGCCAACACTTTTTATAAGACTTTGTAGAGTACCTTACACAAGCTTATAGGTCTGAAATCGACTGGCCCCTTTGGAGATTTCTTTTTGGGGATTAGGGCTAACAGAGTGTGGTTGAGTGCTTGAGGGAAGGATCATTCCTCCAGAAAGCCTTGCAGTGCACTAGTGATGCCATCGCCAATTATGTCCTAATTCTTTAGAAAGAACATCGTTGGCTTGCCATCTGCCCCAGGGGCTTCCAATGGCCCCATTTTCTTTAGTGTTCCCCATATCTCCTCCCTCGTAAAAGGTTTTAATAGCTCCTCGTTCATTTCACTCGTGAGTTTTCATGGAACTGACTCCAACACAAGAAAGGCATGCCAATTAATTGATTAGATGACATAACTTGCATCTGAATTAAAAAAAAAACAATTGACCTTCCTTGTATTAAACAACCTTCCAGGGAAACATACTTTTGAGCAAAGAAAAATTGATCTAGTTCCCATGTCGATTGAATGCATAACTCTATACCAAGAACATGGAGAACACATTGGATTATGCAATCCAAAGGAAATATTGTTGATTAACCTAATAGTATGCTCTTCGTATCAAACAACAAAATGTTTATTATCAATGCATGTATCTCATTTGATATAAACAATAGTCTTCTCAATTTACTGTCATAATAAAGATATCCAAAATGCGTATTTGCTTTGTGTCAAAAGGAAACAAAAATATGATCTTTGCGTATCAACAACAAAGAAAATCAATTTTCAAATAAGAAATATTAGAGAATGCTCTTACCAATGAACTAAAATTATTTATGAGATCGCACCCAAAAAAAATTATTTATGAGATTATGCTCGCTTTAATTTAAGCACGAGCAATGAAAATCGATGAGTAAAACATAACACCAATTAAAAAGAAAAAGAGAAGAGATAGAACCACTCAAGATTATGGTAGGTGAGGCATGCGTGCATAACTAGAAGAAGTTGTAAACTACCTCTGTGCTGCAATCTGACAGTTCTTTATTGAATGAGAAACTTCTGAATATATACACGAGGTGCAAGCCACAACATTTGGCTGCTACCAATGACCCACTACCCTGAAACCAAGGCTTCCACGATCTGCTAAACACTTACTCAACTACCAGAGTTCAATCAGCTAACAACTACTCTTAGGACTTGATCGACACTTAACCAAACATGAAGTACTGACTTGGTAAACCTGCAAACAACGCAGTTTCCCTTATTTCACAGACTCACTTAATTAACCTGACTCAAACGACACCGCTTTGAGCAACGGCATACTCTATTTCAAACATTCAAACTTACTTCTTGGCGCCTCTCCAATTCTTGTGCAGTTAGGATTTCTTGACAGCAGAGATTCAGTCCAACATATCCTCCCCTGAACTGAAGCCCATCTGGTTTAGACTTCAGTTCACTGCATCCTCCTCTGCTCCTCTCAGCTATGCAACTTCATCCAGATCACAGATTCCCAGCTTGCTTCTCAGTTTGAGAAATGTCTCTATCTTCAATGCCTTTGTCATGATATCAGCCACTTGGTCCTGAGTTCCACAGTACCTCAATTCCACAACCCCATCTTTTGTCAGATCTCTGAGAAAGTGAAACCTAACATCTATGCGTTTGCTTCGGCCATGGAACACAGGATTCTTAGATATCTTAATGGTTGAGCTATTGTCACACAGTATAACTGTAGTCCCATTCACACACTCTTGCCAGCCTAGATCACTTATAATTCTTCTCAGCCACACACATTATGCTGCACAATAGGCAGCAACAACGAATTCTGCCTCAGTGGTTGACAGAGTTACCACTGGCAGCTTCTTAGATGCCCAAGAGACAGCCCCTCCAGCCATGAAAAATAGGTACCCACTTGTGCTTTTCCTGCTATCAATGTCCCCAGCATAATCACTGTCTGTATAGCCATACAAACAGTCCTCCCCATTGTTCCTATGATACATAATGCCATGCTTCAGAGTTCCTTTCAAATACCTCAACACTCTCTTCCCTGCTAGCATGTGCTGTCGAGTTGGGGTCTCCATAAACCTGTTCAGCAAGCAAACTACAAACATGAGATCAGGTCTGGTTGCAGTGAGATAAAGAAGACTCCCAATCAGCTTCTTGTATTCAGTAGTATCTATTGGGTATCCATCTCCAGCCTTGGTCAATTTTGTACCAGGTGCAATGGGGACATGCACATGGTTACATTCCTGCAAATTGAACTTGTCCAATACTTCTCTTGCATACTTCTGTTGACAAATGAAGATGCCAGCCTCACTTTGTATTACTTCTACTCCCAGAAAATACCTCATCTTTCCCAGATCAGTCATTTCAAACTCATTTTCCATTGATTGTTTGAACTCTTCAACCATTTCATTGTTTGTGCTGAGATACATGACATCATCCATATATAAACTCACTATCAGCACTCCTTTCTCAGTTCTTTTGATGAACAGAGTTGCTTCATGTTGACATTTCTCAAAACCAGTACTGAGAAAGTAACTTTCCACCCTGCTGTACCAGGCTCTTGGAGCCTGTTTCAATCCATAGAGTGCTTTCTTCAACTTATAGACCTTGGTTTCCTCCCCAGCAACCACAAACCCTTGTGGTTGCTCAACATAGACATCTTCAGTTAACTCTCCATGAAGAAAGGCACTTTTAACATCTAACTGCCAAACAGTCAGACCATGATAGGCAGCCAGTGCCAGGAGAGTTCTGATTGTATCCCACCTGGCTACTGGGGCAAAGACTTCAGTGTAGTCAATGCCTGCCCTCTGAGCATAACCCTTAGCCACTAGCTTTGCCTTCTTCTTATCTAGTGTCCCATCTTCTTTCAGCTTGGTCTTGTAGAGCCACTTTAAACCAATAGGAATAATGCCAGGAGGTAAGACAGTGAGTTCCCATGTATCATTTTTCTCAATTGCACTCATTTCTAGTTGCATTGCTGCATCCCAGATGGGATCACGAGCAGCTTCCTCGTATGTTTGTGGATCTTCAGTGGTGGCCACCATAACTAGCCAATCTGATTCTTCAGAATCTGCATTGCTGCAATCATATATACTTAGATGACCAGGTGGCTTTCTGTTTCTAGGTCCAAGTTCATTATTCCTCTAATCACCTGAATTTTCTTCTTCTTCTATTCTGGTTACTTGAGTTGTTGGAGTTGCAGGGCTGGTTGGTTCTGATTCAGCTTTAGTGGAAGCATGATCAGGTGTGTTTGTCACTACTGGCCCCTCTTCTCCATCTGAGTCTGACCAAACTTCTTCACTTCCTTCCCACATTATATTGATTGAAACAGGTTGAATCTCTGAGTTCCATTTCCATCCTTTACTCTCATCAAACAGCACATCCCTGCTTACCACTATTTTCTTAGTAGCAGGATTATAAAGCCTGTAGGCTTTAGATTCTGAAGAGATGCCAAGGAAATAGCACTGAGTGCTTTTATCATCCAACTTCTTCCTTTGCTGGTCTGGGACATGAGCATATGCAACACATCCAAAGACCTTGAAATGAGCTACAGATGGAGCTGTTCCTGTCCACAACTCTTGAGGAGTTTTTCCTTGATTTGCAGCAGTAGGGCATCTGTTCAAGACATGTGTGGTCCAGTTGACAGCCTCTGGCCAAAAACCAGCAGGTACTTTAGTGTCTTTTAGCATACATCGAACCATGTTCATAGTGGTTCTATTCTTCCTCTCAGCTACTCCATTTTGCTGTGGGGTAAGAGCTGCTATTAACTGCCTTTTCATTCCAACTTCATCACACAGGGAGTTAAACTCATTTAGCAGAAACTCTCCTCCCCTATCAGTTCTGAGACAGAGAAGTGAAGATTCAGTTTCCTTCTCTACTTGAAGCACAAACTTTCTGAACCATTCTAAAGTTTCAGACTTGGCTCTAAGAAAGTATACCCATAATTTCCTGCTGTAATCATCTATCAAGGTGAAAATGTACCTTTTACCTCCATTGGAGGTTGGGGTGATGGGTCCACATAGGTCTGAATGCACCAATTGCAACCTTTCAGTAGCTCTCCGGGTGCTTTTCTTGGGAAATGGTTGTCTGGTTTGCTTTCCAAGCTGACAAGTAGAGCAAATGCCCACTTCACCTTTCAAGTCAGGAATACCTTGTATCAGTTTCTTCTTTTGAGCCTGCAGCAGTCCTTGAGGATTCAAGTGACCAAACCTTCTATGCCAGAGATTCAGGGTTGCTTCCTTGGTTTTGTTGGTTTGAAGGCATTGAATTTCTGTTCTGCCAGTTGCTTCTGCTTCAGACTGCAGTATGAACATTCTGTTAGACTGCATCTTGGTTTCCAATAAGAAACCTTTGTCTTCATGAAAGATCCTGCAGACATTCTTCTTAACCAAAAACTCCAGTCCCTTCTCTTGTAATTGTCCCATGCTCAACAGGTTAGTCTTAAGTCCTGGAACAAAGAATACATCTTGTATCACCAAGGATAGTTTCCCAAGTTGCAGTCTTACTGTCCCCTTACCAGCCACATCAAGTCTGCTGTCATCTCCCAATCTGATCTTTCCAGTTGACTTAGCATCAATATGCTCAAACCATTTCTTCTCACCACTCATGTGGTTGCTGCAACCTGAGTCCAAAAACCAACAGGTTGACATGTTCTTCATCTTACTGTCTTCTAGGAAGGCCATCAGCAGGACATCATCAGTCATCTCATTCTGAGTGCTAGAATAGTGAGCTTGTTGGTTATTATACCACTCAGGATATTCACTACGATAATGTCCTAGTTTATGACATTTGAAACACTCAATATTTCCTTTATTCCAGCCTCTACCACCTCTTCCTCTTCCTCTACCTTGATTGCCCCGATAGCTACCTCTGCTGCCAGGACCTCTTCTTCCCCTTCCAGCAAACTCATGTGAGATCCTTAATGCCTGATCCTCTTCAGTAATGGATTTCTTATGAAACTTTTGCTCATGCACTAGCAGTGAGCTCTGAAGGGCATCAATAGATAGAGTTTCTATGTCCTTAGACTCTTCATCGGAACAGACAACATAATTGAATCTCTCTGTCAATGTCCTTAAGATTTTTTTCACAATCTTAACATCATGCATATCCTCACCACAATTTCGCATATTATTGGCTACAATCATTACCCTACTGAAGTAGGCAGTGATAGTCTCACCTTCTTTCATCTCAAGAACCTCAAAGGTTCTTCTAAGAGCCTGCAACTGGGCTTTCTGAACACGAGCACTTCCTTGGTACTTGACTTTCATGGCATCCCATAACTGCTTGGCAGTAGCTTTGGCAGTGATGGTCTTGAGAATTGTCTTGTCAATGGAAATGAACAAATAGTTCTTTGCCTTCAAGTCTTTGAGTCTGAGATCAACCAGGCTTTTAGATTCTGCAGCAGATAACACAGCACCTGTTGCTGGTTCCTGAATTCCTTCACTGACAACTCCCCAATACTCCTTTGATCTAAGAAGATTTTCCATTAGTAATCTCCAATGGTCGTAATCACCATCAAATTTGGGGAGCCCCACTTGTGAGAACCCTGCATTGTCACTCATGGTTCTGCAGTTATCAAACAATGGCCTTCAGACCTCAAACACCATTCACCCTGTGTTGATTTCCTCACCAATATTCTCTCGTGTTTCCCTGACCCAGATCCTGCAATTTTAATCACTCAGTTTCACTCAATCAAACAATCTCTCGTTGGTTACAGCTTGCAGAAGGCTCTGATACCAAATGTAAACTACCTCTGTGCTGCAATCTGACAGTTCTTTATTGAATGAGAAACTTCTGAATATATACACGAGGTGCAAGCCACAACATTTGGCTGCTACCAATGACCCACTACCCTGAAACCAAGGCTTCCACGATCTGCTAAACACTTACTCAACTACCAGAGTTCAATCAGCTAACAACTACTCTTAGGACTTGATCGACACTTAACCAAACATGAAGTACTGACTTGGTAAACCTGCAAACGACGCAGTTTCCCTTATTTCACAGACTCGCTTAATTAACCTGACTCAAACGACACCGCTTTGAGCAACGACAGACTCTATTTCAAACATTCAAACTTACTTCTTGGCGCCTCTCCAATCCTTGTGCAGCTAGGATTTCTTGACAGCAGAGATTCAGTCCAACAGAAGTAATTCCCCAGAAAGACACAATGGTGGAACAAAAATGCAAAACATATTAGATCAGGTAGCGTGAGTTAAATAAAGTTTTCATCCTCGAGCAAATGCCATGCAATGCAAGAAAAGAGATTATGCCGAGCTTTAATTTCTATTTAATTTTAATTTTACTTCTTAATATTTCTTCGAGCCCAAACGATGAAGGTTCATTTGGGTTAGGAGAGTTTGAGGACAAGGCATCACTTCTAGTGGATAGGCGCCTCGAACTCTAGAAGAAGTTTGAGAGAAGACGTTTGAGAGGGTAAGCAGAGAGAAGCTCTAAATGTAGATAACTCCCATTTTAGGAGGAGAGAAAAGGCAAAGAGGTAATTCCATGTTTTCGACTCGAATCGAGCTGATATAAATTCTAACCTAATACTTCTCAACCAGTATCTTCGACTAGTTTTTCTTTACGCCTATCTCAATTTCAAGGGACTTCTTTCAATTCCAATATCGTCACACATTTCCATATTAGGGGGGTTAATTGACTCGATAGCTAATTCTCGTACTCTGATTTTTTGTTTTGAACTTCTCGTTTAATAAGACTTCCCTCCAAAATCTCCCAACCTTTCTGGTGGTTAGCAACCATCGAGAACTTTATAGTTCTTCACTACTTCGACTCTCTTTCTGTCTCGACTCCAAATGGATTCCCCCCCCCCCCCCCCCCAAATCAACCATGTCTCACGTAGATTATGTTGCTCTATCAGCATGCAGTAGATTAGATGATATATTAGCTTGTGGTTTTCACTTTGTATTCATATTATTAACATTGTTATGTGCATTCTGCTCTTTGTAAATGGATCTTTGATATTCGTAGAGTGCAAGGATAGGTTTAGGTTTCGAGCTCGATGTAACATGGCCACGTGAATTTGGATTGTACGTTCTCAGAATCCAAATCAATACTTACATGAAGTGGTACATTGATCAAAGGCCATTAACCTTCTTAAAAACAAGTTCACTAATATTGAACCGCATAAAAAGTTAACGATTTGATTATCATACTGTTTTTCAAAATATATTGCCATCATTTTGTTTAAAATAAATTATTTAGTTATTATATCGTTTCATAAAAAAATCACGTTTAATTATTTATTAAAGGAATAAATTGAATGATTAATGCGATGTTAAGTGGGGAAATAAGACAAAAAGTTCCAGAAAACCCATTACACTTCCCAACTCATTCCAGCATCCATATATTGATTTTATCCAAAAATACATATATGTTAACCGGGTAAATGACACATTTGGTCACTGAGATTATTAAATCGTGTCATATTTAGTCACTTGAAAAATTTAATATCAATTTTGATCACTCGAATTACTGACACAGGTCAGTGACCAAATGTGTCATTTACCCTATAACTAATAAATCATTTGCAGTGGAAAATATTGCAGCCGATAAATCATTTGCAGTGGAAAATATTGCAGCCGAGGAACTTAAAGAAAAATATTATAATAATTGTAAATAAATAATTATTACTGTCTCCTGACCTCCTCCCCTCTGGCAACATTTAAATGCTCATTTCCCTGACACTTCGCAAAACTTGCTACCAAGCAACCATCTCTCTCCCTCCGTCAAAATCTACCGCCAAATCCCCAAAAAGGGCCGACGCCACCGCCCACGGAAGAAACCACTGCTACCGGCGGCGTCAGCGGCGACTCAAATGCGAACTAATCGGCCATAGAGAGAATTAATTTTGAAGTAGAAAAACGATGTCTCCGCAGAGACGATCCTCGCCGACCTCAGCACCTCCGGTGGCGAGTCCCGGCAGCAGCGATCTCAAGCAACGAGTCATAGCCTGCCTGAACAAGCTCTCCGACCGCGACACCCTCGCCGTCGCCACGGCCGAGCTCGAGTCGATCGCTCGGAGCTTGACTCACGACTCGTTCTCTCCGTTCCTCAACTGTATCCACAACACCGATTCCTCCTCCAAATCTCCCGTCCGAAGGCAATGCGTCGGCCTGTTAACTCTCCTCTCCCACTCCCACGGGAACTCGCTGTCTCCTCACCTCTCCAAGATGGTGTCCACCGTCGTCCGCCGCCTCCGGGACCCGGACTCAGCCGTCCGGTCGGCCTGCGTCGAGGCCGCCGCCGCCATGTCGTCTCAGATCACGCAGCCTCCCTTTGCCGCCGTCTCGAAGCCGCTGATAGAGATGCTGACGGTGGAGCAAGATCCGAACTCTCAGATCGGAGCCGCGATGTGCCTGGCGGCGGCGATCGAGGCGGCGCCGGAGCCGGGAGTTGAGCAGCTGAGGAAGGTGCTGCCGAGGCTTGGCAAGCTGGTGAAGGGAGAAGGATTCAAGGCGAAAGCCGCGTTGTTGAGCGTGATTGGGAATATTGTGGGCGTTGGAGGCGCAGCGAGCAAGAGCGTTTTGGATTGGTTGGTTCCCTGCTTGGTTGACCTATTGAGCTCTGAAGATTGGGCGGCCAGGAAGGCTGCTGCCGAGGCATTGGGGAAGATAGCGGTTGCGGAGAAAGAAACAGCCAAGGATCATAGAACTTCGTGTTTGAGCTCTTTGGAGAACAGGAGGTTTGATAAGGTAAGAAACTCGTTCGATTTCTTCGAAATTGGGCGTTCGATTGGGGAATTGAAAAATGGAGTTTCTGGCTTGGTTCTTTTTCCCTATCTAACAGGTGAAGCTTGTTCGAGAGACTATGAACCGTGCCCTGGAGTTGTGGAAGGAGGTAGATGGTGGTTCTGACCTAGAGATTTCACTTTCAAGTCTCTCTAGATCTTCTTCAGGAGGAGGTAAGAAGCATTTCATGGCGTTTCTTTAATGGCTGTCAATTGGTCGTGTCAATGGATGGAATCCATGAAATTGGCAAAGGAAATATTGTCAATGGATAGTATGTTTGAGCTTTTTTGAGTGCCTTTTCTTATCCCAATCAATATTGGGGACAGATATTCCAAATGCTTGACTTCATCCATTTTTCTCTGCTTTCTTTGTTTTGGGGTTTTCTTCACGGGGACCAGATAATGGTAATGGCGGATGCATCAGAAGTTCTACCAACGTTGGCTATAAAACACCCTCTCCTTCATCAAGGAAGTCTTTCCCACCGCCCAATAGGTCCCCTCCATCGGATGCTTCTTCGGTGGTGACCACAGCCAAGAAGCAAAGCCCTGTGAAGAGTAATGACAGCAATTCAAGGCCGGCAATGCTTCAGAAGGTGGACCACATGAGGCCTTCTTCCAATTGGAAAACTGAAGTTGCTGTACCAGCACTAGATAAGGCCAGTGAGGATGACATCAAGTTACAAGAACCAAAGGTCCTGAAATCGGCTGATGAAGTGAGAAATGGGGGCTCGAGCCCAGAAACAAAGCGGGTGCTCTTCAGCAGCAGCAGCAACTGCGTTGGTCATCACAAACTTCACAAATTTGGTGGGTTCGGATCTGGGTCGAGGGTGGTTCCTTATGACTACGATGAGGAAGGTGATGATGAAATGTGTTACGCAGCCAAAGGAGGAGCCGGGTTGAACAATCCTGCTGAAGATATGTATGAGAATCCCAAAGAGATGGAGGATCTGTCCTTGATACGTCAACAACTTGTTCAGATTGAAACCCAGCAATCCAATCTTTTGGACCTTCTCCAGGTACAAGATTCTCATCTTTTGTATTGGCTACTTTTGACCTCTCTACATCAAAGTCAAATTCGAGCAATTTCCCAAGTCTGGATCCCAGTAAAAACTCTATTTGTCAGTTAGCTGTTGTTTGTTGGGTGGCATTTACTTCATACTTCATTCACATCTTCCGTTCCGACTTGGGACTACTTTGTCAAATGAGATAGTCCCTACTTGTCTTTCACAATGTTGAGAAAGTCAATTTTTACCGCAAGGATTGGCCAAATATTAATTAATGTGATGTAAACATCCACCTTATCCTAGAGTTAGTAACTTGTAAGCCTTTATATCAACATTTCACCTGTGAAAATAAATGTTCACCTTGAGGCCGGCCTAAATGGTCTTGCAGATTGCAGTGTCAAACTTATATGTCCCTATAATATGAGGAAATGAACTGATTTTCTTACTGTAATTCACTTGTTTGCTTGGGAATTTAGAGTTTCATGGGGAGCTCCCAGAGTGGGATAAACTCTTTGGAGACGAGAGTGCATGGTCTGGAAATGGCATTGAATGAAATATCACAGGACTTGGCTGTATCAAGAGGAAGGATACCTGAAACCAGCCCGGCCGATAATAAGGCATGCTGCAAGCTCCCTGGGACAGAATTTTTTAGTTCGAAGTTATGGAGAAGAACGGATGGCGGCGGTCAGTACTCTGCACCTTCAAGGTTCCCTTCGTCGGGCATCACGCAGTCGCGAAACAGCCTGTGGACTGGCGGGCCTTATCTCCCTGAGGGCAGAAGATTTCAGCAGAGACATAGTAGCAGTAGCAGCAGCAGCAGCAGCAAAGGTGGTTTTGTTTTGGAAGACGTTCATAGTACTGGCAGGGGCAACTTTGCAGGCCTTTCTCCAAGACAAGTGTCCAGTAAACTATTTCAAGATGAAGCGAGTAATCAAAGAGCAGGTCTCTGAAACACATCTCATCCAGGAGGTAAGCGAAAAATCTCTCGCTCCATATCCGATGCTTCTGTTGATCATTAGATAAGCTTGAACAAGATGCTAGACAAGATGGACCGATCACGGGAACCTATTAGTTAAAAAAACAGAAGGTGGATTGGATCTGTACAGAGAGACGAAACTGAAGTTATCAGCAATATCGCCCTTGTTTCTTCCCCTCCGCAATGCCTCGAATGAAACCTCGTCATTTTTTGTAGACAGCAGGTGGTGGGAATTAGGCTGGCAGTGCAGCCAAAAGGGCTTTAGGAAGTTAACACGAGCAGGATGGAATGCCTGCAAACGAATTGAGCTTAGCTTAGTGGAGTCTTGATTCGGTTTAATTTACTAAATAATATGGGGTCGTTTGGATGTGGTAATGTTTTGTGGGAATTGGGCTAAATTTCAATAGTTTGTCGTAATTGGGTTAAAATACTGTGTTTGGATGGGCTAAGTAAACATGGTAATTTGGGCCTTGTAATTTACCCACATTACCACAGACATGGAAAAGGGAAAACCGGCACCCTCCCCCCTGAATTTCACATTCCCGCGTTTGAGGTTATTTTCCTTCCTATTTTGTCCCTAATAATTTATTGTAAACCCGAAATTGCCCTAGTTGTGTCTTCGTCATATGAGAACCCCAATCTACTTTACAGATTCCTTTCTCTTCACCTGTTTTTTTTTTTTGCTTCTCTCTCCGACTGAAATCGAGAAACCAAGGCGCAGGTAATCGGAGTGGTGGGTGATCTTGGCTGTGACTTTTCTGGATTCACGGCGCCAACGACCAACCGAAGAAGAAGGAGTGGTTGCCCGTATCAACCAGGTAACTGGTCTTCTCTTTGGGAGCATAGGTTTCTACTGATTATGGGTAAGAAGTTGGGGTTTTTAGCGCTTAAAATTGGGGGGTTTTGTGTTCGTGCTATGTCCATGGAATTTTTTGTGGAATTATTAATTACTACTTACGCAAAGGGTTTTTTTGTTCTTGCCGTGTCCATGGATTCTTGTGGGGTTATTGATGTTTACTTATGGAAAAGGGTTTTTTTGTTCTTGCTGTGTCCATGGCTTGTTGTGGGTTTATTGATTACTACTTATGCAAAGTATTTCTCCTGCATCCTAGCGTGACACACTCTTCAACCGGTTTAAGAACAAAAAGCATAAGAAGTTCAGAATGTCAAGACTGTCAATTATGAACCCAACGCGTAGGCGACAGGTTGTTGAAGCAGTTGGATCGTTCATCAACCTTCTAATAATTTACGTCAGCCTAGGAATGAAACTATCTCAGCTGCTTCAAGCAAGGAGCTTAAATCGTAGACTTGCTAGGCAGCCAATGGATAGCTACACTGTGAGGCATTACGATAGGCAAAGACACCTTGATCGGCGGATAAGAAGGAATGATACTATATGCTTTTCTCGGGTTAGAATGGATGTGGCTTTATTCAATAGGTTTTGCGAGATTCTTGTTAATGAGGGTCGGTTGAGAAGAACTAGGGACGTAGATGTAGATGAAATGGTATATACTTTTCTGTGTACGATTTCACACAACGAGAAAAACAGAACATTGGCCATCAACTTGCTTCGACTCTAGATGGAAACACTTTAAGGTTAAAAATTGTAAAGTTTTTAATTGTTAAGCTTTTCCAGTTGAGTGCTTCAGGTTATAGATGTTTACAACTAATTCATATGAGTTAATTTTTTTTTTATGTTTTCGTAGAATTGTCTCGGTGCTTTAGATGGAACTCATGTGAATGTACGCCCTAGGAGGGAGCATCAAGCTAGGTTCCGGGATAGAAACAGACATCTTTCAATGAATGTGCTTGCTGTTTGCACTCCTAATTTGGAGTTCATTTATTGCTTGTCGGGTTGGGAGGGTTCGGCCCATGATTCAAGGGTTCTTCGAGATGCTCTTACTAGGCCTAATGGCTTTAGGGTGGCTGAAGGTAAAATCCAGTAATATTTCAAAATCACAAGATATTTGGCTGAAGGTAAAATTAAACTCATAAGTGTTGTCCATTTGATGAAGGGTGTTACTATCTGTGTGATGGTGGATACGGGAATAGTACTGGGTTCTTACCTCCCTATCGTGGGCAGAAGTACCATCTTAAAGAGTGGGGACCGAGAAGGCCATCTATAGCTGAAGAGTATTATAACATGAAGCATGCATCGGCTAGGAATGTTGTAGAACGCATTTTTGGAATCTTAAAAATGCGTTGGGCTATTCTTAGAGACTCTAGCTGGTTCTCTCCTAGTGATATGGCAAGAATTGTAGTTGCTTGCACCATAATTCACAACTTCATCAAGAAGGAGCGAGGAGCTGACAGATTTGAGAGGGAGTACCAAGATGTTGAGCAAGTTGACGAAGAACAATATGATCCGGATGAGGTTGAGACCATTGCTGCCGATGACGTTCATTCTTGTCCTGCTTGGACTCGTTTCAGAGATGATTTAGCGAAGGAAATGTGGGAAAAGTGGCCTTACAAGCCAGTTGTTCCAACAGTACCCTCTGTTTGATTCTGCTTTATGAAAAAATGAATAGCAGAAGCATGTAGTAGTTGCTTGCTATCTTTGTATGTTTTTGCTGTTAAGTGGATGTATGAACATGTATGCTTCATAGTGAAGCTGTTACCAAAGCAACCTGTATGCTTTGTAGACATCTAAACAACATGTATGTATGTATTGGATGTTAGTATCATATTAGAAGATCAAGTTGTTGTCTAGTTTGCAAAGAGATGTTTCTCTTTTTGTTCATCTGTCATTGCAAAGCACTTACAGTGACAGTCTTTGCAAACACATGGCAACACCTTTTGTAAAGCTTATCTTCAGCTTATTTTTGTAAAGTGCAAACTCTTATGTAGAATGTTGTTGTTGTGTACTGTTATAGATTGTAGAAATTCTAGAACACAGGTCATCCAATTAAACAGGTAGCTACTAATAATGTTGTTGATGTGCTGCTCTTGCTTATGTGTTGCTGTTGTTTTTTATGTGTTGTTGCTATTGTGTGTGATGTGATGCTGCGGTTGCTGCTCTGTTGCTACTACACACTGCTACTCTACTGCTGCTACAGCTGATACTACTATTGTTGTTGCGGTGATGCTGCTTCTGTTATGCTAATGTGTTGTGTTGATTTATTGTGTTTTTTTGTTGTTGTTGAAAGGTTGTGAGAGTTCAGTTAGGAGAGTTATAGTTTGCTAGTAGTGATAGCTAAATTGTAGGAGTTGACAACCGAGTTTGAGAGCACTTGTTGTGCTTTGTACTTCAACTCTCTTATTAATTCAATAAAAACTTGACAGGCTCTTTACAATTTGAGGATTGAATATGAGAATTGGTGATTGGAGATTTCCCTATAAGCTTATTCGTGTGTGTTAGTTATAGGCAAATTTCTAATGATCATGATAATGGCAAACTCAAATAGAAAGGGGTAAATTTGTATTTTAACCGAATACCACACCATCAATTTCCACATTCTTTAACCCATCCCAAACATGGAATTTTGGACAATTTCCACATGACAATTACTAGGTTTTCTATAACATGGAAATTAAGGCCAATTCCCACATTTTTAGATTTCCACATCCAAACGACCCCTATAAAAGCGTAGGCTTGAGCTCTACTTGAGAGTGAAAGAGAGGTACTGAATGTTCGAATGCGGTAAACGCCCAAGTTCCAACATGTAGCATAACCAACGCTACCAATCTTTTTTTTTTTGTCTTTCCATTAGTACTTCACTCAAAAAGAGGAAAACCAAACCAAATATATTGTTGGATGCCATAGTTGTGTGCAACAAAGAACTGGAGTCCAGCCCTACTGACACAGGCGTTCTCAACAAAGCATGACGAGTCATATGATGAGCCGCTTTATTGTGAGATCGTATCGATCAACAACATCAAACTTAAACCATCAGGCATAAGTGCAACTTAAACCAAGTTAAGTAGCACCACATTTAATGGGTTCAACTTTGACCATACAGTAGGATGCGATAAATCAATTGGTTTCGACCAGTTATGTAGTTAGGACGAAATTTATGTATATGGATCTTAAACCACTTTCTTAAATGTCGTCTCAAATGAATGTTAACTCATTAAACTATGGTTGTTATGCCAGTGGCATGTCGGTCGGTTGAACCTGATTTAATCGGTGTCGGTTATGAAACCGGTATAACACCACCGGTATGACTGGCATGATCGATTTACAAACTCTAAGTAAAATGACGTTATTTTAGTAAATTTGATTGATAAAAAATGAATTTATTATATGTTTTATGAATATAAAATTGAAAAGTTAATGTAATTTGTTGGATTCAGGTATCAACGTTGAGGTAATGACGTTAAATGTTGTATTTAAATATGTATATTTGTTATTTTATTTGTAATGATATATTTTATTAAGCCGGCATGAATAGGTACAAATCTATTGTACCATTGATCGTACCATTCCACTTGTTATACCGGCTTGCCAACCTTGTATTTGACTGAAAGAAATATTACATATATGACCAATCCATTACGTTCAATTGCCGCAACCAGTTCAAAAACTCTATTCTCCAGAGATGATGGCCGAGTCTCCACAGAATGGACACCTCTGGCCTGGAGACGCATGTTCCTCTTTGTAGCTCCCCAATCATAACCTTCTTCTACCATGTTTTCAAAAAGTTGGTTCATCTGAGGCGGAATTTTGCTTAGCTTACCCCCTTGGCAAAAAGAGTTGGTTGATCAACTTCAGTCTTTATGAAGGATGGCATGGCATAAATTTCCCCCATTGAATTAGTCATTGAACCCATGGTGGTGGCACTTCATAAACAAGTCGGAGTATCTCTCCCAAGCATTTAGAAGAGTCTCATCCTCCTCCTCCGCAAAATGGATGATATGCTTCTGCAGATCCACAGTCTTGGCCGAGGGATGATAGCGAACGAGCAACTTGTTGACCAGATTAACCCAAGAGGAATTGACTATGGTGCATGGTTCTCCAACCATGACTTAGCCCTCCCCTCCAGAGAGATAGGGAAGTAGGAAGGCTGGATCACCTCCTGAGGTACACCGTCGATTTTGATCTTGTCGATCAGCTCGTGGAAACGGTTGAGATGCTCTCGTGGGCACTCACCATCCAGCCATCAAAGACCATCGAGGTCTTTAGCATCTGGATCACAAAAGTTTTCACCTCAAAGTTGTTTGCAGCAACTTTAAGGTGCTTAATACTCAGTCTGAGGTCCTCGGACCTAGGACTCAGTATTACATGCAAAAGTTCATATAAACAAGATTCCTAGCACATGAAAATAGGGTTCTTCAT